AGATTTGAAGTGATGTTTGACCGGGTCGAATACGCTCCATCGATAGCCAGCCTTAACGAAAGCGAAAACTTTGAATATCAACAAACCGAGGATTTCAACACATTCAACGATTGCCAATATGTCGAAAAAGATGATAAGCGAACTATAAATTTAAATAATTACTACGCATCTTATAGCGACAGCGACAGGAGCAGTGTCATGCCCGAGATCGATCCCGTCGACGTCTTCATGAATAAAATTTATGCTTTCGTGCGTCGATTCAAGAGAAATGTGCTATGGCTCGGTGAGAATTTCTTGGCAAACTCGCTGGTGCGCGGAACACCGTTTAGCACTAGTGATGGCGTGCTCTCCGATGTTACCGTAGAAATTAAACCAACAAACATGCAAATTCCGAACGAGGTAGCACTCAAAGGACGAATTTTATTTTAACTTTCAACACATCACACGTACCTTCAGGGAAATCTTTTCACTTCGCTATACTATACATAATTCCCAACAAACGAGGCAGCCGACAATCGACAACAATTGGTCAAATCTGATACAATTACCGCTCAAGTCTCTTTCGATATCACATTTATTTAAGGCACAACGGCAAAATCTTATCGCATTTTCATTCTGGCATGATCTGCACTCTCGCATAATTTTCACTTTCGCATTATCCTCACTCTCGCATATTCTTCATCCCGCATAGTAAAAAAAAAAAAAAAAAATTATAATAAAAGAATAAATTATATTCTTGAAAAAAACTTACCGTACATTCAAAATGTAATCGATCACGAACTCCTGGCCGCCTATTCTATTGTAATATAATGTTAAGCTTTAGACAAACTTTTCGTTAGTAATTCATTATTTTATATATTCTTTTTTCTTCTTCTTCCCCTACTGCATATAGAGAACATTATTTTAAAAATTTGAAATGATAAACATTTCTGGTCTCCGAATGTTGGAGAAGCAGAGGTCTTTCTTTCTTTTCTTTTCTTTTCTTTTCTTTTTTTATTTAATTAATAAAAACGTATTATTTATTTATTTTTTATTATTAGCAGTTACATATTTTCATAAATTCATTTAACTTTGTATTTTTTTATGATTATCAATCAAATCCATTTATTTTCGATTACATCTACGGTATATACAGTATTTTCTATATATTTCAATATTTCAATTACCTATACAGCATATACATATATTTAGATACTTGTATTTGGCCAATAAAAAAATTTTACAAAAAACCTTTATTTTACAAATTCGAATGACAACCGCCCATTTTCAATTTTCTTAATACGATTTACATGAGCTAACGAGCATATTTGGAAATTTGATTCTAAAAATCAACAAACATTAATATGGTTAATTGATCCTTTGCATCAATCAGTCAATGATTCAATCGACTAATGTCTGTATGGTTTTAAAAACGTACTTTTTTTAAAAAAATTTCATCTAGTGGCTGATAATAATGATTGTGACTGTCAAAAACTGTTTACCGATAATTGTTTAAATTGATTCCCTTTTGCAATTTAAATATACTAATTAAATTTAGAATTTTTAGCTTTCCACAAATATTTTTATAAATCGACGATTCGGATCGTTTGAGAAAACTTACCTTAATTGGTTGAAGGATGACTAATCTCAGAGTCAACAGACCACCTGGTGATGATTTTTATCCATATCAGGAAAAAATAACCATAGCACTATTGCACGAATACAGGATTCTATTGATGGCATGTATTAGTGCATTACATGACGATATATCGATTCGATGTGTTAAAATATATGGATTATTTGTTGTCTAAATATTTATACGTTCGAAAATGAAATGATCTTATGACCGTCCATCACGTCATAAGGTAGATTTAATATATAGTATGATGTAAATAAACAAATGACGCTTTGATTTAAAGTTAAACAACGGGCATCAATACAGTAAATCATTAAAAATATCAAACGGTGGTTTTTGTATTCTAGAAACTGGTGGTACTACGCCTGCATTCTGCGGCCAATACGATCGTAGGATGTACGCGTGTACGTACGCCATCAAAAAGAGCTCCTTACATTAAATGGGAACGTTATTTTTATTGTTCTTTGGATTCATTCTATTCATGATACAATTTTAGGGAAAATTTAAGAAGTTGTAATTAATCAATTAATATGGTCGTGTATGTCTCCTCTACACCATTTGAACTAAAGTCACACGTACGTAATATGCACGCAGAGTCGTTGGGCAGGGTGATACGGGTGTTTGGGCGACTTTTAGGGTAAGACGATTACGCGCAAGTTTTAATAACACGAAACACACTGTACAGTACATGCATAAAGAATGGGACCTCCGAATGATTACACCTTTCGCGGGATCAATGTATCCACATTTACCATGGTATAAGTAAGTTCGGATGAAGTGAAGATGCGAGCTTACAATGTCGGGAGTGCACGTACGATAGGTGAAAAAGATATTATCCGAGAACTCTGGTCCCACCGATCAGTAGCGGACAGGAAAATGACGAGCGAACGGAAAATCGTATCTTTGCATCAGTAATGCGAGAAAAATCGGGTTCGTGCATTCCCCTCAAAGGTAAACACCGAAAGGGTGGCGAATAGAAACATTCTGCCTTCAGCTAAAAATAAAATTGTCTATTTATGACGAATCATCGACCTTTTTTAAAAAATCCTTTGAATCATATAAAAGCGTATATGCTGAACTCGAAAACTTCATCTTTCTCTTCTTTCATTTTCCAAAACATATTTATTTCGCATAAAAAAAAAACATATAATATCGTGTACAAGTATTTTTCAATTCTCTATTTTGAAATTGAGTTTTTTATTATCTAGTTATGCATAAAATTCTAAGTCTTAATAATGATGAATTGTATTATTTATCTGTTGGTTCATAAGAACGTTCATATTGTAGACATGGTTATTAAATTATTGATGAAGGCGTGAATTGAGATGAATGAAAAATTCTAGAAGGAAACGTATGATGAGTTTGGAATTTTGTGTTGTGTTTGTGAAATCTTTATGTACATTGAAAGATAAGGGGATGAAGAATTCTAACGTCTAGAAGATATTCTAAAAAAAAAAAAGAAAGAAAGAAAGAAGAAGAAAGCTCTGCTTCTCCAACATCCGGAGACCAGAAATGTTTATCATTTCAAATTTTTTAAAATAATGTTCTCTATATGCAGTAGGGGGAAGAAGAAAAAAGAATATATAAAATAATGAATTACTAACGAAAAGTATGTCTAAAGACTAACATTATATTACAATAGAATAGGCGGCCAGGAGGTTCGTGATCGATTACATTTTGAATGTACGGTAAGTTTTTTTCAAGAATATAATTTATTCTTTTATTATAAATTTTTTTTTTTTTTGTTTTTTTTTACTATGCGAGATGAAGAATTATGCGAGTGAGGATAATGCGAAAGTGAAAATCATGCGAGTGTAGATCATGCCAGTGAAAATGCGATAAGATTTTGCCGTTGTGCCTTAAATAAATGTGATATCGAAAGAGACTTGAGCGGTAATTGTATCCAGATTTGACCAATTGTTGTCGATTGTCGGCTGCCTCGTTTGTTGGTAATTATGTATAGCGTAGCGAAGTTGAAAGTTAAAATAATATTCGTCCTTTGAGTGCTAACTCGTTCGGAATTTGCATGTTTGTTGGTTTGATTTCTACGGTAACATCGGAGAGCACGCCATCGCTAGTGCTAAACGGTGTTCCGCGCACCAGCGAGTTTGCCAAGAAATTTTCACCAAGCCATAGCACATTTCTCTTGAATCGACGCACGAAAGCATAAATTTTATTCATGAAGACGTCGACGGGATCAATCTCGGGCACGACACTGCTCCTGTTGCTGTCGCTATAAGATGCGTAGTAATTATTTAAATGAATAGCTCGCTTATCATCTTTTTCGACATATTGGCAATCGTTGAATGTGTTGAAATCTTCGGTTTGTTGATATTCAAAATTTTCGCTTTCGTTAAGGCTGGCTATCGACGGATCGTATTCGACCCGGTCAAATGTCACCTCAAACCG